TATATATATATATATATATATATATATATATATATATATATATATATATATATATATATATATATGGGGTGGCGCCATATATATATATATATATATATGGCGGTGGGGTGGTTCAAATAGCCTCGGCTATCACCTCATATATATATATATATATATCACTAAGAACTCCAATTGACCCGGCCAGGATTCGAACCCATGCCGTCCAGGATCACCCCTAAACGTACACAGTACCGTGACCACCGCACTAATGATCGTAGACAATCAACACTCATATATAACAATCAACACACACACATATATAACAACCAACACACACACATTACAATCACTGTTCGAAGACCTCATCCAGCTCTTCGGAGGTTGGGTGTGTGCCCAAGATACAGCAAGCATTTCCTCTCTGGATCGCGACACTGAGGCTCTGGAACAGGAAACTGGCCGCTCTTGAGTCTTTAGTTTGCCTAATGAGTTCCTCGTCCCCTTTAGGAATTTAAGTGTACATTTACCCCAGGCGCTTAGAGTCTCAAGAGTCTATCTCTATCGGCACGAACCTGTAACAACGTTCTAGGTCTCTGTAGTTGTTGGTTTTCTGTGTCTCCCTGAAGGTGGTTGCCCCGCCTCCCTCAGCTGTACTGTGAGGTAGATAGGTATCAACTAATGTAGACACACACGTGTAGGCCCATTATAGTCCCATGCCCTATCCCCTCCATGGCTGCAGGGTGACTCCATCTGGGCGTTATATATATATATATATATATATATATATATATATATATATATATATATATATATATATATATATATATATATATATATATATATATATATATATATACATATATATATATATATTTGGATACAAATATTTGGATACTATATATATATATAGTATATATATAGTATAATATATATATATATATATAGTATATTTGGATACTATATATATATATATATATATATATATATATATATATATATATATATATATATATATATATATATATATATATTTGGATACAAATATTTGGATACTATATATATATATAGTATATATATAGTATAAATATATATATATATAGTATATTTGGATACTATATATATATATATATATATATATATATATATATATATATATATATATATATATATATATATATATATATATATATATATATATATATATATATATATATATATATATATATATATATATATATATATATTAGTATATTTTGGTAGCAGTCTTTCCTGTAGACATATATTATTAAATATGACCGAAAAAGTAAGATTAATAATTCTAACACGAATTTTCTCAATCTTTCGTACATTTCTTTTCACTGTTGGAGGTAAATCAAAAATCAATTCTCCAAAATTCATTTTTATTTCTAGTCTGACGCGACACGAGCTCGTTTCGTAAAACTTATTACATTTTCAAAGACTTTAGTTCACAAATACACAACTGAATAGAACTGATTGATTGATGAAGATTAAGCCACCCAAGAGGTGGCACGGGCATGAATACCAGTATCAAAAGATGATACTGGAGATCTGTGGAGGCGCAACTGCACCCTGCGTGACGGGAGATGTCTCCCGGACCAAGTGGTGACCAAATGGTGGAATAGAACTTACGCATCTCCGATTTTATATCTACATTTGAGTGAGGTGGAAGGGGTGATGTGGCATTAACACAAGACAGAACAAGAGGGGGCATTAATAGGGTATTAATTTCATCAACACAAGACAGAACAAGAGGTGGTATTAATAGGGTATTAATTTCATCAACACAAGACAGAACACGAAACAATGGGTATTGAATAGAAGTGTTTGTAGAAAGCCTATTGGTCCATATTTCTTGATGCTTCTATATTGGAGCGGAGTCTTGAGGTGGGTAGAATATAGTTGTGCATTAATTGGCTGTTGATTGCTGGTGTTGACTTCTTGATGTGTAGTGCCTCGCAAACGTCAAGCCGCCTGCTATCGCTGTATCTATCGATGATTTCTGTGTTGTTTACTAGGATTTCTCTGGCGATGGTTTGGTTGTGGGAAGAGATTATATGTTCCTTAATGGAGCCCTGTTGCTTATGCATCGTTAAACGCCTAGAAAGAGATGTTGTTGTCTTGCCTATATACTGGGTTTTTTGGAGCTTACAGTCCCCAAGAGGGCATTTGAAGGCATAGACGACGTTAGTCTCTTTTAAAGCGTTCTGTTTTGTGTCTGGAGAGTTTCTCATGAGTAGGCTGGCCGTTTTTCTGGTTTTATAGTAAATTGTCAGTTGTATCCTCTGATTTCTGTCTGTAGGGATAACGTTTCTATTAACAATATCTTTCAGGACCCTTTCCTCCGTTTTATGAGCTGTGGAAAAGAAGTTCCTGTAAAATAGTCTAATAGGGGGTATAGGTGTTGTGTTAGTTGTCTCTTCAGAGGTTGCATGGCAACAGGGCTCCATTAAGGAACATATAATCTCTTCCCACAACCAAACCATCGCCAGAGAAATCCTAGTAAACAACACAGAAATCATCGATAGATACAGCGATAGCAGGCGGCTTGACGTTTGCGAGGCACTACACATCAAGAAGTCAACACCAGCAATCAACAGCCAATTAATGCACAACTATATTCTACCCACCTCAAGACTCCGCTCCAATATAGAAGCATCAAGAAATATGGACCAATAGGCTTTCTACAAACACTTCTATTCAATACCCATTGTTTCGTGTTCTGTCTTGTGTTGATGAAATTAATACCCTATTAATACCACCTCTTGTTCTGTCTTGTGTTGATGAAATTAATACCCTATTAATGCCCCCTCTTGTTCTGTCTTGTGTTAATGCCACATCACCCCTTCCACCTCACTCAAATGTAGATATAAAATCGGAGATGCGTAAGTTCTATTCAGTTGTGTATTTGTGAACTAAAGTCTTTGAAAATGTAATAAGTTTTACGAAACGCGCTCGTGTCGCATCAGACTAGAAATAAAAATGAATTTTGGAGAATTGATTTTTGATTTACCTCCAACAGTGAAAAGAAATGTACGAAAGATTGAGAAAATTCGTGTTAGAATTATTAATCTTACTTTTTCGGTCATATTTAATAATATATATATATATATATATATATATATATATATATATATATATATATATATATATATATATATATATATATATATATATATATATATATAAAATTGTGAGAGCACCACCTCTGGTGCAAATGTGGGGACCCATAGCCTCGGAGAAGAAAATAAGGAATATTCAGAGAAGACATTGTGGATTTTCGCTGAACACTTTAATATTTTCTTCTCCTACCACCCCCATTCTTTTGTATTTATACATATATATTTGTTTTATTTAAACTTCGTTACAAAAAAGGAGTTACATATAGGGCACAAAGATGATTATGATAAGTTGTCGAGTTCCTCCAGCTCATCAGATGGCGGGCAGGAGCCCTGAATGCAGTGTGCATTTCCTCCAGGAGGGAGTCTTGGGAACCAGCTATGATACCATCGTCCAAGAACCAGATGTTAAGCTCGCTGGACAGGACCTCTGTGACTTGTTTGAAGACTTAGCAGAAAAGGAGGGATTGCAAGGGGGACGCCTTCTCGCGAGTCAATTTCATATTCGCCAAAAAAGTAGCTTTAGATCCATACTGTAGCAGGAATGTATAAAAGGGTAGAGGGAAGGGAAATGACGATGAACCGGCCGGAGTACAGCATCCCTCCGCACCAATCAGGGCCTTTTCATCTGTGATGTTAGGGACGAAAGCTTGAGCTGCGTGAGCTGCCGCCTCGCACCCTTGTGGAATGCCGAACCCGAGCTGTTTTGGCTTTAGCATGTTTGCCGCTGCCATGCTAGCTGTTCTCGCAGCAGCCTTTGCGACGAGACGCCGGAGAGAATTGCCCACAGCTATTGGTCTGATCCCTCTATCCTTTTTCTTTAGAACACAGAGAGATGCTCCAAAAAAGATAGGTCTTTAGTTTCGCTGGTATGTTGCCAGCTAGACATGTGTTGGTGAATCTGGTTAGTTCCACCAGGAGGCTCTGTGCAATGTCACCCAGTGCAGGGTTGAACATTTGTTTGATGTGGTTGGGTTTTAGTCCTGTGAATCCACCTGTTGATCCTGTTAGGAAGGACAAGGCTGTTTTATGAACCACAGATTCGGCCACTCAGAGAGGTTCTGCTCCAGTAGCCCTCACTTGTAGAATGTCGTCCTCACGGGGAGCCCTGGGTGGGTGTTTCTCCCTTAGGGCTTGAGCTGTTGTGGCATCTCTGTCAGCAATTTAGACCTCACTGGTGATGATTCTTATTGCGCCTATGACTCTTATTGCGCATACATAAGTTGCACTTGTTAGTTTTACATAACACGCAAGTAAACTGTAGGCCTTCTTTTTTTTCATATTTCCTCTCGAGTTTGCATGCTAGAATGACATAATTTGGTGTACAGTTACCTTTATCAATGAGGATTCCATACTTAATACCATTGGGTATTATTAGCCATTTATTTACGCGAGTTTTCGGATGGTAAAAGCTTAGAATTGTTGTGTTTGTGTGAAGGGAACATCAATCTTGCTGTCACATATCGCAGCCTTTGTTTGGTGGGTTATTATTATGGCAGAGACTTGTAGAGATGGTGAGTTGTACATCAGTGAGCTGTTGTCCAGTCTTACAACGTTACCGCACATTTGATGCCCCCTTATTGTCCGTTCTTATTCATGACATTGGCATATATGCTTCCCTTTCAGGGAGAGAGTCAGAAAGATAGGGACCGAGAGAGAGAGAAAGTTAGGCTTCAGATAAGCTGATGTAGGATAACAGCTATAGTTTCCCTAGGTACATCAATGACAGTCCTAATGACCCTAGCCTTAATTAGAAAAGAGTTAAGAGAGAGACAGACAGACAGATAAAGAGATAAAGTGAGGGATTGAGCTTGACGCTGATCGACTGTAATAAACATTAAAGCCTAAGTTTACTTTCTAACATATTAACACTCTTTTCTCCAACAGTTGTGAAGTAAAGGCCGGCTCTCACCGTAAGTACCACATGGAAGAGTAACGGTGCCACTTGTCTCGTTACAGTGTGTGGTCCTGGAGACTGTCCCACCTGTTACATGGCGGACGCCAACGGTGTGTGTCGCATCATCTTCGGCTGCTCGCCCTGACCTCCTCGTCTGATTCTTCCAAACGTTTCCTCCTCCTCTTACGCTCTCTCTTGTGCGTTTATCTTCGGTTAGATCATTCTCTACGGGAAATGCGAGATCATCTGATGAACTAAAAGTAATTTATCAGGTGATATATTAGTTTTAGTTCTAAAAAACTAATAATTATTCAATTGCCACTAAAACTAATTTATTCAATTTTATCTATCCCCGACCGTCCTAGTGGTTGGGCACCATTCATCTTCCCCGTCCCATCGAAAATCCTTATGCTCATCCCTTCCAAGTGCTATATAGTCGTAATGGTTTGGCGCTTTTCCCCTGATAGTTTCATTCCCTTCCATTTTATCTGAACCTCAGAGAAAGCCTATTATTTTTTTCTATACTAGAGCAAGAGCGTATATGCAACACAGGAGATTACTTTTGTATGTTAAAATCAGTGTCACTCTTCGGCAGATTCTGATAAAATTAGTCTGCAACTACAATGTCAAAAATAATCAACATTTTCTTATTCATATTTAGGTGATTGACACTCGATAAAAATCATTAATATTTGGTATTAAGCGCCCATAAAAAATGGTGTAATAGATCGTTGACGTTAAAAAATGGCTGAAGGCTTATCAAATTCTGTCAACATTAATGTTACTTTCATTGCCTATTTTATTAAATTCTGTAACAATCGTTGCAAATAATGCATATTTTGCTTTGCTTTATATATCGCAATATTAATTTGTGAAACGCTCCAAGCCTTGGAAACGTCACATCACATCACGGTATTTCCGGGGAAGCCCTTGGCGGCTCCCTGTATTTATATGTGGGAGACTGCTCCATACTTCAGCCACAACAGTCACCAGAGGTGTGTGTAGCCTATCCCAGTCCCAGGCTCCCTCACAGAGACGCAGGAACTAAAGAATCCGCCAGTTCACCATTGTTGATGTGACGATGTGCTTTGAATTTTGTAACTAGCTCATCAACACTGTAACTTCCTTTTGCTAAATGCATTTTGAGGTTCAGTCCCTGAGCCCATTGTGTGTCTCTGTAACCCTTTCCGCTACGGCCCACAGGATGGGTATGGGGACCACTACCGCCCACAGGATGGGAATGGGGTCCACTACCGCCCACAGGATGGGTATGAGGTCCACTACTGCCCACCTCATACCCTTTTCACTACCGCCCACAGGATGGGTATGGGGTCCACTACCGCCCACAGGATGGGTATGGGGTCCACTGCGCCCACAAGTTGGGTATGTGGTCCACTACCAGCCGCAGGGTGGGTATGGGGTGCATAATAAATTAACTAAAGTAGCACCGGGAAAGCATCCAGAAAGTCAACGAGGTCTTTCTGGAGGACTCGAAACCTCAAAAATGCCAAAGAACTCCCTAAACGATTCAGTCAAAACAAAAGAAATCACTCAAAACTAGGTAGAACCCATTAATAATATGGTGAATGCCTATATCTGTATTATTTAAAATATATGTATTACAATTACAGCCTTTTATTTATCCGGGATATAAACGTGAGGAGATGCGGACTCCTGTTAGTGTGGTCCAGGGGACAAGACGAGGAGGAAGCTGTGCGGCGCGCTCCTCCTGCAGGCTTGACTCTTAGACTGTTAAGGAGCGTCTGAAGTTAGCAGGGTCGTGTGCCAGTGTCATTTGTCACCAATGGTTCGTGTCAGTGTCATTTGCCACCAATGGTTCGTGTCGCCAGTGTCATTTGTCACCAATGGTTCGTGTCATTTGACACCAATGGTTCGTGCCAGTGTCATTTGTCACCAATGGTTCGTGTCAACAGTGTCATTTGTCACCAATGGTTCGTGTCAACAGTGTCATTTGTCACCAATGGTTCGTGTCATCAGTGTCATTTGACACCAATGGTTCGTATCAGTAGTGCCAGTGTCATTTGTCACCAATGATACGTGTCAACGTCAGCATGTGTCAGTAGCAGTGTGTGTGAGGCTTGTCATGAGTGATGGGTGTCAGCATAATGCAGTATAGTGTGTCATAACAAAGGGTCCCGGTAGTGCAGTCGGATTCGTTCTCGAGTCACAATCGAGAATTCCGGTTTCGAATCCCGGGCGGGACAGAAATGATTGAGCGCGTTTCCTATTACCTAATACTGCTGTTCACCTAGCAGTAACTAGGTACTCAGGAGTTAGTCAGCTTGTTATGGGCTTGCATCTTGGGCGGGGTTAGTAATTTGACCTTGAGGTCGGGAAGGGGGGGGGGGGAAGAGGATCGTTGATATAAATCTAGCATGTATTGTATGCATTAACTAGCCTATCCTCCTGTTTGGGTACTTCTTATAATGACGACATACTTTTGCTGTTGGCACTGCCAGACTTATGAACTCGATATGCTAAATATTAAGTACAAATCTTATCACTGGCATTGATTGAGTACACACCTACATCTTGCAAGTATCACACATATTTCTATTCTCAAAAGCAAACTTTATATACAATATAATATCTGGATCCCATCGTTAAGTCTACCAACCCGAATATTCTTCATGCATTAAATTTCTGCTCTTATGATATGGTAATTGTGTATTGGTTGCATAATACTTTTACAAATAGTTATGCAAATCAAAAGAAAATTGCAATTTACGAAACAGGACATGTAAATTAATTTAATACCCAAATTCATATGCCTATAACCTAATTTGTATATGTGATTCTAATTAAATAATGTTATTTCACAAAGCAAAATAAAAAATGATTAACTAAACAGTCACTGTCTTCTCTTTTAATTCAAATTTATCACCTACTGGTCAATTTGGAAATGTCTTCATTATGCTTATAGAATTACTACCTAACTAAATATATATTGAAGATAATATTAACATATCTAATCCTACTGCAAAGAACGAGCAACAATAAGCACAAGACATACAATGGTAAATTAATTAAATATCTATACATAGGCTTTCAATACAATGGTACGCAAATGACCGAGTTAATCTGAGGCTTTCAGTTCAGTCCTAACACACCTAATTTATAGTTATAGATAATAGAAATAAGGTCAATTATAAAAAGCTGCTTTATACATGATAACACAGTTCAGACATCAATAACTATTACAGTTCCCATCAACATTTTTAGATATATTTTAAAATATATAACAGAAAACTGAATTTAAAGTCAACTTCTTTTTATAATGAGAGGTTGTGATTTCTGATTATGTGTTTTAGACACTTTAAAAACCTAGATTGCTAACAATGAGGTGAGGTGTATAATGGCTTGTGACGATAATCTCCTTCAAGAGATTGAGCCTGCTCTTCCCTCCAAAAATACGTCGATACATCTATATAAAACTACTATGGAAGAAAAATCCAACAACGACAACACCAGCAAGGTTTGCCAGAGCGCAAAACGTATGCAGCCAGGAACACCTGCTCCACCTCAAACCGCCAAACTACCTGTCTTGTCGCCTGCTCCTCGCTGATTGGCTGCGGGTCTAGCTGCAACTGCACTCTACCCACCATACTACTTGATGTCTGGGGCCGCCACGACCTCAGTCTTCAGAATATCCCGTGCTTTCGACAAGTTAACACGTCTCGTTGGTAGACTAAGCCCCAGGCTTATGTGTACTAAGAGAAGTGATAGCTTGAAGCCAATATTCCTGCGCCTATTTACTTTGTTTGCCACACACTTCTTATTTGTTCACTTGTCTTAACGTAACTTTTCATTTTGCCATTTGATTATTCTTATTACTTTGATTTTATTATACGAATTTGTATGTCCATTTTATTCATGTTTTGCTTTCTTTAACGTAATTAAAATTTCATTGTTAAAATTTACTTGTGTTTTGTGTGTCTTCTCCTTACCTTACCACAGACGAAGTTCCAGATTTTTCTATTTTTTTTTCTATATGTGACGAGGCCATACCCCTAGCTTTGAACAGCCGAACACCAACGCGTTACCGTCACAGGCTAAAAAGGAAAATCAATCTATATCTTGACAAGAAAACCTTGGACAAACAGACAAGAAAAAATGTCTGCCAGTCCAAGGTTAGAATCAGCCGCTTGGGGCTAGCCTCATCCAACTTTGCAGGGGGGATGGTCTAAACTACAGACGGACATAGGCTGGTCGGGGCTCACCAGAATTCAAGAGGGAACATCTTGCCAGAGGTCACATTCTAATCCCACGACGATTTTTAGCACTGATCGTTGGTTACACCTATCTAAATATTTTGACAACTAAAAATGTCAAAACTATTTTATTTCTTAAAGTAATATGCACCCCTATTCACTGAGCTTTGGAAAATTAATATAATTTTTCCGCTATTCATACTATGGCCATAGTAGCATAAAATAAACGAACCTCCGACAGCTTCTAAGGCTTCTTTACCCCCTACCACTTTCTCAAAGCAAACAGATAACTATTATATCTTCGTTGAATTTCACACTGCTAGGCTCCTCCATCCAGCTGACTATGCACATGTAAATGGTAGGGAGAGATAGACAGACAGACAGACAAACAGAAACAAAAAGATATCAGCAAAAAGACAAAGTCAAAGATGGACAGACAGAATGAGAAAGAGGCAGACTGTTATGACCTATAATGTTCCTTGTTATTGGAATATGATATATTGAAAACAGATAGTGTCCATATTTTAAATCTGGGAGGAGTTGAACCTACAATCCTGCCAAACGTATGAATGATTAATTCAATGTTTATTTTTTTATTTATAAAATTTATTATACAAGATGGTACATTGGGTTTGTGAGAGTACATAACATTAAATCTTACATTATTGCAAAGCCAATAACATGCATAGCGTTTTGGGCAGGTTCTTAATCTAACCGATAAATGTATTAAGAGGTACATTGTAGAAAATTTTTAGTTTAACATAATAACTACATATAAATTGATGGAAATTATTACACTGGTGAAGATGCGTATCTTTAGTTAAAAGAGTATTTCACTGGAGAACTTGCATGTCTTAAGTACTAATATCGGGGAAATGAGTAGTACAAGATACAGTGGGAGTTTAAAGCACAGGGTACGAAACTATGAAGATGAAATTAGGTACTTTTTGGTTTTACTTTTGAATAAGGCATAGGTTGGACATTTTTTTAATTCACTAGGGAGTGAGTTGCATAGACTGGGTCCTTTTATTTGCATGGAGTGTTTGCACAAATTTTGTCTGACTCTGGAAAGTCAATATCTTACATAAACTTTGTTAATTTAAGCTCCTGACTAGTTTTAAGAGAAGTTAGTGAATAGTTAATTAAGAGAGAGCAAGAAAGTTACATCATATATTGTGTGATATTACAAGAGATTTGTGGTGGGTGAAGGGTGTCAGTATGAGAGTTAAGGCAGTATGGAGCAGCGCGGGAATACGGATTCAATGTGAAGATGGACTGTGTCTATGGAGGACGTGTTCTGTTGACTGTTGGGATTTCACTTCAGATAAGTCCATGTTTTTCATCCATGTACTGGCCACCTTTCTTGTTTAATATAACTTTTATAATCTTATGCAATTTGCGTCCTTCTCTACGTTTGTTGTGCTTTGTGGGAGTAAGGCTGAAGAGGATTTATATGTACTGGGGGGATAAGGGACATTCCAAGTGGGCCTCCTTTAAAGGTGCAGGCCTATCTAGAGTATTTTGTTTGTAACTTTGTAAGCCTTTATCTCTTTCCAAAGGGACTACTGTGTATAACGTAAATGTCATCAGGCCGTGCAAGAGGGTTTGTTAATGGTGGGTATGAGATTAACAAAGCGTTACTAATATAAGTGATTTTGCTATGAACTAGTGGAGGATTAGAGTTGACCACTTACCAGCAACCTGTTATATTTCGTGAGGATTTTCCTGGGGGCCGGGCCTTACTTT